GAAAAGCGTGACACACTTTTGTTGATTGATGCCTTGTGAATGAGACTGTGCAGCCTGCTTGTGCTGTGGCGTCTGATACCCGATAAATTAGATAGAAGAACCTTCGGTCGTTTCACGGCTTACCGGCCCCTGACACTTCCTTAAAGAAAAAAATCGCTTAAATTGTATTTTCATCGTAAACTGCAGTTTTTAAGCTTTCTTCTGATAAATAGTTTGCTAGCATTTTAGTGAAACTAGCGCGCGGGCGAATTTTTCACGAAGGACACCCGCGAAGGTGGGAAGTAACCTTGATTTAAGGTAACGGGTAAAAACAGAAAGTTTGGCCTTGTTTGAGAAATCAACTCCAGCAAAGGGACAGGCTTTTGGGGACCAGTCGGAGTCAAGCATTCTAATGGAGTGCCCTAAAATTAAAAATTAACTTATTAAAATTATTAAATTAATGTTATTATCCAATGTCTGTCAAAATAGATTATTAGGAGTCCCTCTCGCGAAGGAAGTAATTTATGCCAGATTTTACACATTTTGCAGATATCTCTTTAAATTCCGAGACAAAGTTCTGTCAGTTAAACAAACGTTGCACGTGCTCTTTCGCCTACACAGGCATATTGTATAAATCACTGAGGAACTACGTATTTACAGGTTTGTCTAAATTATTTCTCTAGCTTAGCAATTGAAAAGGTGTAAGGGAGCAACTACATTGTACTTTTGTATTATGGGCTTTGTTATGTCGGCTAGTTTGGAAAAAGTTTCGTGTGTACCTATGTTTTCCTTTTTCTTACCGGGTTGTGGTCTGAAGCGCTACATTCCAAAAGGGAGAGCGTATTGAATTAACTGCATCGTTTATACATATGTAGAAAAGCCTCATAGGACGTATCAAAACAAACATTTTTTGGGAAATGGATGGTTATCAAGTGTCTAGTTGCGCAGTAACGAAAAATAACATCAACTCAGTAATTGCAAAAATTACTACGAAGACCACTGACCAAGCTGAATCCTGTTTCAAACTGTATTTTCGTTTCTCTCAAATGGATGGGATTCGAGATGCTTAGTTTAGTATTCTTTGGCCACTCGACGGAATTTGTAATTCCAACTACACATCAACTGCAAGCTGAGAATAGAAAGAGCCATCCAGCTGTAGTGGTTTTAACTCTTGACATCTCTTTCGAGCTCCAATCTTAAAGTATTCTATTTGCAGAAAATTCTGTCTAATACTGCTTTCACCGCCTGACGGATTTCGCGACTTTTCCAACAACACACCAATGGATTTGTGCACGAGTTGAGAAAAGCAAGAGTTTCTGACCAGCTGTAGTGGTTATAAGTCTTGATATCTCTACCCAATATCTGATGATAAATTGTCACAAACAAAACTGGTATATTAAACATCAAGTAAACTGCAACGATGAATGATATGCTTCTTGTTACGTTTACTTCTCTAGATATTCTTCGCTTGCTCTGGTTTCTTTTAGATGGATGACGACTGGCGGGTTGCACGCGTCGGGAATGTTGTCGTAAACTCAAAATGATTCCAATGTTTGATACTACAGCTACGAGAAGACAAATGAACCAAGCTATCAAATGTATACCTCTTGAAACCTGCTTTACCACAACCCACTGCAAACTTGTAAAAAGAATGTTGAGTATCCAGATAAATGCCATATACTTCAGAATACGACTTGAGGAGAACACAGCATTGTACCTCACCTGAAGTCGAACTGCAATCAATCGCTCATAACTAACAACAGCTAGTGTCATGAAAGCCACACCACAACAAATGTAAAAAGCATTTGCATATACAATTCTGACAAAGCAGGGAACGGAACGATGCTGATTTTCCATGAGTCGGTACATAACGTAACCCGGCTGAACTGCAAGCCCAACAAAGACATCCGAGAGGGCCAAACTAGCGATCAAAATTTTTGATGGTGCTCTAAGTCGAGAAACGATTGCAGCGAAAATTAAAAGGTTGCTAATAACAGCGAGAGGGGCTGTTACCATATTGATTATAGCTGTTACAAGGTTCACTGTATAGCGCTCAGCTACCTTGTGAAAAGTAGGATCGGGAAGTTGGTAACAAGATAAGCTGTTCTCAGCCATGACTTCTTGGATACCTTCCACAGCTACATCTAACAATATGACAATTTGTCCTCTAAAGCTTTGAATCCCATGTGTTACAAAAATTTGATTGAAAGACAATTTCAATATTTAGACAACAAGACCAGATACAAGTTTTTTGACGTGATTGTGTGTAAATCAAACTCAATGAGAAGCACGATAAGGTGGACAACCAAAGACTCAGAAGTTGTTTGCTTTTCCAATGAAATCTAATAAAACTCGCTTCTAGGTCATTAATTTCGATCGTAGTGGACATAAAAACATATTTTATTCAAACAATACTCTCGTTGACAACAAAGTTCTTTTAATTAATCTTTTAAGACTTTCGACTTCGTGGAAAGGGTTCTTAAACGCTTGTCAGGGCTTATTAAGGCTTCGAAATGAAAAAGCATGGTTTTCTTTTAATTTTCCCTGAAGGAAGCGTCGTCACACAGGTTGAGATAGCTTTTAATTTAAAAAATAACAGCTTGATGTGTTCAAACCAAAAGAAAAATAGTTTTATATTTGGATGCAAAATATAATAAGGACAGAAGTATTTGTACATAATAGAAAGCGAGATTCATACTGTTCATCTGCACTTATCAATCTCTTTTTTAAAGTTTACTTTGTTTAAAGTCTCGAGGCAGCTGAAACTTCACATGGCTAAAAAATTAATTACTTTTTTTAAATCTTTGAATATTTTTTTTCTGAATTAAGGTCTACAATAATTTTACTCTTCAATTGCTTCTGAACTAAAATGAGGGAAATTGATAAAGTCTACAACTTTTCACTGCTTTTTTTTTATAGTTTCTCATAGGCTCATATTGGTGGAAGAAGGAGATTTAAAATATACCACTATAAATTTTAATTTCAGGCATTCTCGCTTGAGCGCGATTGACTCAAAAAAAAAAAACCAGACATAATTATATATATATATATATATATATATATATATATATACACATATACAAAAATCAAAAGGTATATATATTTCATGTACATTTTCACATTACATGAAATATATAGAGAATAATACATGGGCGCGCGTTGATATGGAGCGCAGCGAACGAGTGACATGTCGAGTTTAACACGCGAAGAGAAATTCCATATCTACATGCAACCATGTATTAGTTTGTTTATCATATAAACACAATAGCCCTTTACTGAGAAAAAAAGCCGGCTTCATTAATGACTGAAAATAAATGAATCGACAATCCCCGAATAACAATCGTAGAGTGCGTTGGCGCTAACTCTTGAGATGGAAAAATATGTTGAATCATGACTACAATATCAACAACGGTCGTAATTTTCAATTTACAAAATTCTCTTTTATTGGCTTTGTCCTTACCGAAAGAAGAAGTCTTTCAGGTAAACAGCCAAAATCGGCCAGTGGTAAATCCTCCAGTTGTCTTAATTCTCAGCCGAGAGAAATGCTAACACCAAAGCCACTGAATACGTAACTTTCGGTTTTTCTTTTAGTATATTGGTTTTCTTCCCCTTCTAGGAAAGTTTGAGCCTCACTGTCTGTCAGCGATACGGATCTTTTAGTGTTTTAGTGTTATTTGAGAAACAACTTGTATTGAGAATCGTGAGGGCTTTGTCATTCATCAACCTGACCGGGTGGCGCCAAAGGCGAGTGACGTGTCAGCAGCTGATTGGTTATATCAACACACGTGAAAAAATACGATATTTTTTTACGTGTAATATATTAAAGTTCACACGGGAACCAGGTGGACAATCAGACATAGTTTGATGCTAGTTTGATGTCACGAAAGAACAACGAACGGACGTCATTTATTCTATTCCTTGCAATAACTGTGACAACGAATACATCGGACAGACCAAACGTCAGTTTGGTACACGGTTAAAAGAGCACCAAAAAGCGGTTTTCCTTTGCAAAAAGGAAAATTCAGCTTTATTGGAGCATACATGCCTAACTAACCATACAATTGGGTGGGATGATTCTAAAATTATCACCACTAGTCGGCGTTACCACCTGCGCCTTTGTTTGGAGGCTTGGCATATTAACTCCGCCCACACTCCTTTAAATCGTGACGATGGCGGTTTGCTTCCTGACGCCTATTTACAGCTCGTCAGAAAAAAGGCCCCTAATTAGTGATCATATAATAGGACCTCTTGTTGCAGCGTTTAGATCACCCCTGATGAAGGCACTAGACAGGAGTGTCGAAACGTTGGGTCTATGAATCGTAACTTCTTCGGTTACATTCATTAAATCTGCAAACCAGAGTAGCATCAAACTATGTCTGTTTTCCACGTGTTTTATCTGACGAGCGCTTAGGCGCGAAACTCAGAGTCACAAAGAATCGATGCGTCCCCTTTAATTCTTTAACTTATGTATACTTAGCTCTACTACCACAGCATTTAGCACTAGGCTGCGTGCATCATATCTTAACAGTGCACTCGTGCGACGTAGGGCGCGTGCTTTATGGAAATATAATGAACTCGTTTTGACCAATCACGACACGCGCCTTTCTCTGCACATTTTATGATACTTGATGAAATTTTCAATCTTGTCTTGCTTTTAAATTCTAAGCATCCAATACATTTTTACGACAGCAATTACATTATTCGCTCTCGATTTCATTGCATGATAATCTATTTGGGCTTCATCCTAATCAAATAACAAACTATATAAATTTCCAGCTCATAATCTGCTTGTACAGGCTCACCAAATATCATTATGTGCATTATGAGCGATGACCAGTAATTCTTTTGATATCGACGGAAACGCTAAAGATTCCAAAACTGCCGGCGCCGCGGTATTTGATTGAGTATAAGTACGGTATAGTTGAAAAAACTGATCTTTGCAAAACAAAACGATTCACAGATGGTCCAGCCGTTCTGTGATTCGAGAATCTTATATTACTTCCTTTAACAGAAGGGCATTATTACAAGCAAATTATGTCCAGGTCTCTGTTGATTAGTGGTACTAACAGCCTTGAAAATTCTGAAAAGGAAAAGAAAGACAATCGGGTGAAAGGATAATGGAATTGGGCAGTTCTCGGGGACTAGAAAGGAGAGGGTAAATTTTTGTGTTTAATAATTTTTTTATGCTTCATTATGACTTACGATCAAGATGAGAGATCATTTTGTCCACATATGCCTTAGTATAAAGGCGATCCCTTCAATGTTTTTTAAGACTCTGTAGGTGGACTATCAGAAATAATTTTTCAAACACCTCGCGTGTTGTTGATAGGACGTTTTGGTATGATGATATTCTTCAAAACTTCAAACCTTTTCAAAGTCATTTAATTAGATTTCTCTCTCAAAATTTCCAAAGCTCTAAAACGTCTGAATGACTTCCAATAGTATTGTTGAGGGTGTTCCCGTGAATGTCAAAATATTACCGGAATATTCGGAGAATTCGGAAGGCTTTTAAAGACGTGATGGAAAGAGAAATGATTGTTTGAAAATGAATGATCAAAACTTCCTGAGACATAGAGCATTCCAATGAATTTTTAAAGTTTTTAGGAAACAAGTATACTTAAGATTTTAAAGTCGTCGCTGTTTTTGATTGTTAGACGTCTAGTATCATATATATCATGTTACGAGTATTTATCTGACTTTACGTTTCAACAATCAAAAGCTAAGCTGGCACATCGTACCTTCAAAGTATATGTGTCTATCTTTTTCAAGATTTGCAGTCGCCAGAAGTTCCTCAAGTTCTTGTTTAGTAATTCCTTTTAGTCTCATGAAAGCTCTTCTCAACTCTTTCGTCTCAATGTAGCCTTTGTTATTACAGTCAAACACCTTGAATGCCATCATAAGGTCTACTTTATCGTCGGGTTTCTTATATTCTTCCATGGTTTTAATGAAATCAGAAAACGTCATGTAACCGTCACCTGGGGAAAAAAAAGGGAAAAAAAAGGATATGCAGTTGCTGATTAATAGGACGCACTCTTTCAGTAATAAAGATGCCAGTTTATCACTATAGTCTGTCTTGGAATTCCCAATTTTTGTTTTCTTTACGTTATCCCGAGAGCAACAGCACCATCCAAACCAAATGAGTAATTTTTTAAGGAGTATATCGCGAGAGGACAAAGCAATAACATGGCCTACTGACTTATGTTACTCCAGTAAGAGAGGTGCCCCAGATTGGTCCAAGAAACAAGCGCCATTCTCGCAACCAATCCAGATTCAAAACTAAGGCCAATCTGGACTTGGCCATTAGAGTTTTCCCGCGCTTTAGGCAGTTTCCTCGTTTTTACCTTGAGGTCTTTTTGGCTTCGTGTGATGTTTTTATTTTATCTGATGGACTGTTGTGATGCTCTCAAATGAAAAAGGAAAACAGCATTGGCGCTCTTAAGCTATTTGGATAAATATGCACAAAGGTATCACAAGGAGACCATGAATGGCTGAGAGGGTAATTTACTGACCATCGTATTCCACTTCATTGATAAGAGTTTGTATTTGAAAATCAGTTGGGTTCAGTCCCACCATCTGCATTGCTCGTCTTAGTTGCTTTGTTGAAATACGTCCCTCCCGATCCTGGCCAAAGTACTGAAACACCTCAAGATACTCTGCCAATAAAAAATGAATAAATAAAATTATAATAAACATAAGAAAAGCTGTCGTGCAATATTTTTAATCACTGTTGTTATTAATTTTTGCCTTTTTTTCCTAGTAAATCTGTTATAGTCAAATATCTATGAAAAATACCGGAATATGGAATGAAAGATTCGACGTACTAGCTTTTATGCTTGGAAGATTAAAAATCTCTGGCTGATTGGTATCTTAATATGATAAAGACATATATTGCATGAAACGATGAAGGAGTAGTAAAAAACAATTGATTATTGGCGACGAAGAACTAAAAAAATCTTAGTAACTCAATCATCGTTTAATTAATCATCAAAAAGAAAATACCTGGAGACTAATTGGGATTGAAAGCAAGCCCTCAAATTTTTATCCGCGCAGCATGATTGCAATTTGCACTCTGAGTTTGTTTATTTTTGTCGGCGTTATTCCAGAAGAGCTACATATACGAAAAAACCTTACCAAGAATTTCTTCTTTTGAAAGCTTCTCCTGCGTGAGAAATCAACGAAGGCAGACATCAAGCATTAACGAAAAATGCCGACCTAGCCTATGAATAATCCATTCCCCACTGAATGGGATATAACACCCAAACAATTAAACTAGAAGTTTCCACTTAAACGTTTTTTCTTTAATATCTTTCTAATTTATTAACAGCGGAGTGGTCTTTGGCTCCTGGAGTAGTTAACTCAGAGTTAAATATTTGAGAAAAATGACTTGTATCGTTAAAAAAATAAAAATGTTCTTCCGCACTTAGAATATTACTAGGTTTAGACTTAAGTGGTGCAGGAAAATTAATATTTTAAGTACAAATTAGTCTTCAGAGCGATGACATATTAAGAAAATGAAACGTGTAAGTTTTGACCATGCAATGTTTTGTAGCGTGTCGAATATCGTGTTTTTCGAAACCTAGGACAATTATTAAAGATGATATACGAATAATCTATTCGGACATCATCTCGTAACTGAGTCACGAGAAACCCCAAAATTTGCTTATTGCAACAGATACGGAACATGTTTGGTAACATTTCTGAAAATTCGATTTTTTTTTCACAAAATTTAGATTCAGACAAGTATGCTATTCTAATATTTTCATGATAGCAAGTAAATCGGGTTTTTCTCTGAAGTAGTAAAATACTATAATTTTCTTACAAGGGGAAAGGTGCGCTTACTTGCAAGCTATATTATTTTCTAAGTAATCTAAGTATTGTGTTTCTTCCCTGACAGCGGCCACAAAGGATAACGAATTTTTAATAAGTCATATTTTCTTGTTATGAACACTTGGTAAGGTTCAGAGATAAATTTAGATAAGACTTACCATTTGATCTTATTCTTTAAAAACACATTACCAGCAAACTCTCTTCTGATAGTATATGCACAGGTAAGGCTACTCTAAACACTGATACCTTTGTGTCTAAAGATGTATAGGACATGCTGTAACTTGCTATAAATATCCTTTCTAAAATACCTGCGGCAACAAGGGATTGGATGATAAGCTCTGGAAAAAAATGAATCCTATGAACTTTTTTCTCATGATTTATCAATTGCACTTAAAGTACATTTATTTTGGAAGACAGCATTTTCTCGATGTATTATTTATTTCCCGGTTGGGGTTTTAAGTCCTTTGGGATAAAAAGGTTTGTTAGTTCCATTTGTGGTCTACTGGTATACCTCTCGAGCACTTTGGATCCGTGTAAAATACAACTGTATTAAAAAATGACTTCCTACGCAAAGTGATTCGTCCTTAACAAATTTTTAATTAAAATAACAAGAATAACAAACAACAGAAATGACGACAACGACAATGACAACACTCTCGACAAACTCAAACATGTTAAGTTTAGAAACTATAGAAAGGTCACTTATCAATTGAAAGTTAGCAGTGGCAGATGATGTAACAATACTTTTTACCTAATTAGAAAACACAAGAAATAAATATAAATTGAAAAGCCAGATAAAAACTCTTAGCACCTTCCGGTAAACGTGGTATTTATTGACAAACCAGCTTCTTCAAGATATCCTTTAACTTTTTGACATACCTCTACATTTTTCCAATAGCATATTAATGGATTGGTATAAGAATAAAAAAAAGGCAAGCGTCTCCGTCCAGCTTTAGTGGTTGTTAGTTTGTAAGTTAAGTCTCAATATTTGATCATATATTAAAGTGAACAACACAGGGAAGTTTAAAATCAAGTACACTCCGACGAGGATAGATATGTTTTTTGCGAGCGTGGCTACAGAAACGAGAAGGCAAACTGACCATACCATGAGATGGATGTTTTCGACTGCGGATTCAATAGCAGTCCATTTTAGAGCAGTTAACAAAATATTCAGGGTCCATATGATCAGAACATATTTCACAACTCGTGTCGAAGAGAAGAAATCATTGTATCTGACTTGCAGTCGAACAGCTACGAAGCGCTCATAGCTGACAGCACTCAAAGTCATAAAAGACACTCCAAAGCAACTGAAAAAAGCCAGATGATACATAATCCTCACAAAACAAGGAACTAAACGAAGCTGGTTTTCCAAAAGCCTGTATGTGATATACCCGGGCTGGACTGTTAGGGATACGAACAAATCAGAAAGCGCCAGAAAAGCTTTCAACAGATTAGAGGGAGTTCGTAGACGAAGACAGCTAAAGATGGCGGTGACAATCAGTAAATTTGCAACAACGCCGACTGGAACTGTAACAATGTTAATAGTGGCTGTAACAAGGTTGATTTTAAACCGTTCATGAGCTTTATGGAAGGATGAGTCGCCAAGATAGAAACAGGAAATTTCGTGCTCGGATTGATTGCCCTGCATTTTGCAGATTTTGCTTCCCACACTATGACTTGTCAATGACGATTTAGAGTCCTCGTACAAATCTTTGACGAATTCTTGATGTGCTATTATGTCTACTAACAAGGTTAAGACAATTAGCCAATGTCATTTATCAGCGTTGAATAGAACGGTAACCTGCTGAGCGAAATTGAATATTGAAAAAATAGCCTCATCTGAAAATTGTATAGTGCTTTCAATTGCTAAGCACACGATTTTGCATAACGTGTTTAAGTTTTAAAGCATTAAATAGAAAGTTCTCGTCATGGAAAACATTGAATGAAAACGTGACGTGGGAGGAAGTCTTACACTCTACCTGATTCTTTAAATTTAGCGCCACCGCAATAATCACCTTGAGCGAGATGATGATAGCGAGATGCAATCCTCGACCAATCAGAGCACACGTATCTCTATAATCACCAGGGCAATTACACAAACAAAGGATATTCGGAGATTAAGTAACCAATCAGAGCCACCTTCACTTACTCTCTGTTTTGGTATATACTAATCATCAAGTCTCGTCCTCATCCAAAGAGGCGACTCGTTACTTTGCAAAAAGAAAAACTCCTAAGAGGAAAATACTATATTGGCTGCAAGTGAACGATCCTTACCTTTTCTTCTTTTCTTTTCTTCGCAGTTATACAGTCCAATGAACCTAATTTATATTCAATTTAATCGATTCATAAAATTGTTCATTCATTCTTCTATTTTTTGTTCTTTTATCCGTCTTTTAGTCATCAATTTATTTCTATGCACAGTTATCGTTGAAACTCTTTGGGCCGCTTATTTACTCATGATCTTACTTAGTTTTACGCAATCAGTGGGAGCCAGGTTTTCTATATAAGAAAGTTGATTTAATTAGACGAATGTCCTTACCCTGTTAGCTCCTGGCCATCTTAACACTAATCACAAAATGTCAATGATCAGACAAAAGGTTCAGCTAAATTAAGAATTGTTTACATATTGAAGCGTCAATTCATTGATATCGACGCATTCTTATTTTATTGTAATGTCGCAAATTTTCGATTCCAAGATATTTTTTTAAAGGTTTAACGGATTATAAAAATAATGGGGAAAAATTAAAAAGCTTGATTAATTACGCATGAAATATAACTGGCAAAAAGGATTAAGAATGTGTAACAGTACAATGACAAAGGGAAGCATTACAGGCTATTGAGATAAATGCTTGAATGTGCGACCAGTTGTCTAGCATTTAGCCCCGTGAATATCCTGAAGTTTATCGCACTTATAGTCTTAAAATAAGACCTTCTCCTAACTACATTTTAGATTTAAAGCACTCGGGCTTTGATGTGGAGTTAACAGAATTGGTTCAAGTATCGTTTCCATAAGTATAATAGTTAATTCATACCTTACAATAGGAATAATGATCAAGTTGGTAATTTGCAAAATGCTAACACGATATTTTATTCCCTGCATTTGCGCATGTCTGATATGGTACGCTAGGGTTTACTTTTTGACCAATCACAACGAAAACACAAATTCCTCCTAGAGTCTAAGTTGCGCAATATCATATTCAAGCTGAAATTTCTTGTAAAACGTTTTACGAATTTGAAGTACTTCACCTGGTAACTGCGAAGTCCTTTGGGTATAAATTAGTGAACGCCTCTACAAAATGGTAGGTTCTATTGCAAATAGATGGGCATAATGTCTTTAAGATTGTATAGCTAAAAGGCGTCGTTGGCTTGCAAGAAAGCGCCACGCTACTCTGTAGCCCTCTAAGTATTGCGCACAGAGTCATGAAAGTTGGCAGTTAATGAAAGAATTATGCTTGTTTTTTAACTATGCTTCATTCGTTCGTAATTTTGTTATTCAGCCGTTATTATATAACGCTGGCAAATTAATCGAAGAAGAAACGAAACGAGCTAAATGTTTGACCTGAAACCTTGAACAATGTGGAAATAGAGATATTCTAAAGCAAAACAGTAGATCGGCTTTAAGAACATTTTCCTGTTCTTTTTCTAATTATTAGTTTCTAAGAAGGAAATTTGCAAATAAGTAAAAATTAGGCCAAATGGCATATAAATACTGCAGTCACATTTTAGCCGTCATTAAAAACGATTTTAAATTTCCATTTTAAAAATCTCCTTGGTTCTAGTAGACAACACTGGCCACCTGCTTGACGAAGCAATAAGACGCCAGATTTGTGGTGTTTATAGATTCGTTAGCTGTAGAAGCAGTAAAATGAGCTTGGACTCGACTGATTCATAAGTTATTAATTTTACTATCAGCCTACTATCTAAGATAGAAAAACATTCTGTACTTGTAGTTTTAGGATATTGGAAATACATCATTCCATTCTTGGCGTTTCAATTTGTTATTAATGTTTTAAAACCTAAACAGGAGTGTGTAATTGCGTGCTTGGCATTTAAAGGCCTTATTTATTTTCAAACGAGGCAGTTGTTAATATTTAATTTCGTTCAGTAGGTTGCTATTCTATTCAGTGTTGAAAATTTGACATTGGCTACTCGTATTTTAGCTTGTAAGTAGTCATAATGACACATTATGAATTCTTCAAACGTTTCTACGCGCGCTTTAATAAAAGAAATACTTTTAGAAAAGGCACATCGGAAAAGGCGATCTGTCCATCGATCAAATTTATCAAAAACACAGCTCTTTGTGATTTATTTAAATTAAACTGGATTTACCTTGACGACCAGATAGCCTTACCCTCCCTATTGTAAACAAACTTCCAATTCGACGGCAAGTAATTACACTACGTTTTTACACAACAATATTTCCCTTTCTTTATTGTGAGCGATCTTATCCAGTAAAACGGAAAGTCAGAGACGCTATATCTATTCCTCTATGCTGGAAAAATGGTTGCTTTCTGTGGGGAATAGTAACTAACTGAACTTTGAGATACAACAATGAGATACGCATCTAAGTGCTGTTCTATTATCTATTTCAATAAGGCCGGCGGAATTTGGGAAATTGTTATGGAGCAAAAGAATGTTCTTATTTCACCTTTCAAGAATTTTAATCGCTCTAACACATAATTTAAAGATGTTAGATTTGATAATTTTACTGAAGAATAATTATATGTTATTCACCAGGCGGGAGGTCCGTGTGGGGAAAATTGTGCCCGAGGTCTTGGATACCATGCGGTACTCAAGACAGAGGACACATTTCTTCCCGATACGGATCGAGCTTGGCTAGTGGATAACATTTCTATTTTATTTTCAAACTTTACGAAATTCTTTCCAAAAGAGCCCTGATGATTTAGAGCTCAGGTTTTTGAGTGTAATTACGGGAAGATCCTTCATAAACGGAATAATTTTTTGAGCGAATAGATGGTATAGAAAACAGAGGTAAGGCAAATTAAATAGAGAGGCTTCACCGAAACATTGATGGGAAAAAAATTCCCGCTCTTGATACCAATCAGATCGTAGGATTTGTATAGTACCGTCCACTCATGAATCGATAGTAGAAAATGATATTTGTGTCTTTCAATTGTACTTCGGTTTGCTCTAGCTCTATTTGCATTTCATCCGCATAACCAGAATATTTTAAAGACAGAGTTGATTAACATATTCGTAAATTAGCTTTCTAAATGATTACAAGTAGGTAATGACAATGAATCTGTTATTTATTCCCCAACATACGGTGGCCCACAACTGTCAGGCAAAAGAAATAACCTCGTGGCATGAGAAATAACCTCGCAGCAAAAGAAAAGACTCACGGCAAAAGGAACAACCTTACGACAGAGTGTTGGTCACTGAACTAGTGAGCAGCGCTCTGCGAACAGTGGTTGTAAAACTTCTATATTCTCCGACCCGTTTCATCCAGCTGTAATAGACTTCTTTAGGGAGTTTTACAAGTTAAAACTGAACGCCTGTATTTATATTCTTTTTCTTTTACCGCGAGGTTATTCTTTTTGCCGTGAGGTTTTTTCTTCTGCCGTGAGGTTCTTTCTTTTGTCGTGAGTCTCTTTCTTTTGCAGCGAGGTCATTTCTTTTGACGCGACAGTTGTGGGCCACCGTACCAACACCGTTATTACAGCGAAAACCTATCATATACAATTATTATTAATTAGCTAGATCAGTTTTTTATTACATTAAATCCCATTCCGAACTGTTCAACTATCGATAAGTTCAAACATAATGGATTATTAACATTTGAAACGTGATAATTTTCTTGTCATTCACAGGAGGGGCTGTCTGAAGAGCAAATCCAAGGTATGAGTAAATTCATAGCTTTCTTCACGAATCCTGTATTTATCTTATATTTACAAAGCGATCCTCGATCTTTTCTTTCACGATGGATTATGTTTCCTCACGAATAAGAGCAATTTTCAATTAATTGTCGTAAGTAACCAAAGATTGCTTGGGTTTCGTTTTACTCCGCCTGTGATTGGCCCATAAAACTTACGCGACCCCCTCTACCAATCAGGTCCCAAGCTAAGACTAATTAAGACTTGGTTACTTGTGTTTTCCCACGCTTCAATCAGCTGGATTGTTCTTACTTGGAGCTCTTATTGGCCCTCTGAAATGTTTTTCTTCGCTCGGATTGACTTCGGTGATCACTTCGCTTTTGATGGTGAGACACTCGCTCGGCGATTAACGCTATAGGTGATTCGAATAACTTTAATTACGAAACATTAGATAACTTCAACTTTTCCTGTTTTGCTCATTATTGGTTAATTTGCTAGATACAAGCACTCATACTGCCATGCACTCTTCCGGGACCTACTCCGGTCTTAACTTTATTTACACTTTACGTCACGAATTGAGCAGATTCCAGTTGAACGGACGAAGTGTTTCATACATAGCGCTAAGCATTTCTCCATTTTTTTTCTTAGAATATAAAGATGCTTTTTACATGTTCGACCGGGATAATAATGGTTACATTACTACTAGTGAACTGAATTCAATAATGAGAACTTTGGGATTCAATCCAACCGAAGAGGACTTACAACAGATGATTTTCACAGTGGACTACGACGGTAAATGAAAAATTAATAACATGCGTTGACAGTTTTTTTTAAACTTATGATCTGTTGGAGGACAATTGCATAGATGACATCACCATGAATGAAATAAAGAGGTTCTATGTTCTTGTGGGTCAGTTTTGTAATGTATCGCACTAAATGTGGAAAGAATATCCAGGACACACTCGGCTGCGCCTCGTTTGCCACCTTTTTTTCCTTACCACATTTTGACGTCATTTTTGATCTAGTAATGAACAGACGCACGTCAACATGAATTCGATTTGTTAAACAAACGAATGAGGTCAAGAAAACTGCTAATGAGTATAGGGAGGTTACGATAGGAAATGATTATCTATATCTGTAATTCAAGGCGTGACTAGATCGACGTGGGGAGCACACCTACGGGGGTCTAATAGAGAGGATCTTATGTGTAACCGTGTGCATGATTTTAGCCATATGACATAAACTGGTTGTCTTGAAACTGAAAGCTTTCTTCTCCGGATCTTCTTCGCAAACAAAACGAGGGGGCTCTTTTGCACGATATCGAGTGACTTGCTTTTTATCACGACAATCAGCCACCATAAACTAAATATGAATGTTGAATTAGGACCATTTGTGTTCTTCGAACCAGGTGATGGTAGATTGAATATGGAGGAATACATTCAACTCATGGAACAGCAGAAAAAACCCGAGGAGAAGGAAGAAGACATCATTCAAGCTTTTAGAGTTTTTGACTCAGAAAACAAGGGATACATTGACTCATCTGAGCTGAGGGAACTTCTGGAAAATATGGATTGGAAAGTCTCCGCAGACGACCTGAAAGATTTGATAACAAGCGCTAACCTACATCAGGACAGAAAGATCAGTCTGGATGGTAGGAGCCCCGCACGTATAATTTAGGTTTAGAGAGCATAATGATTAAATTCGTGAAACTAAAACCGAAGTGATTGCCTTTAGCGGCCAATTAAACGAGGAGCCAACAAGAAGCTAGACTGAGTTAATACACGTGAACGGCCTCAAGCTCATGAGAGCTTGGGTCGCCGATATGCATTTTGTTGTAGTTATAAAGTCTTTTATCTCGTGTATTTAAAGTGGAGAGAGTTGGAGGAGTTCTTTTAACCAATAAAAATGCAAAGTGAAGGAAACCCAAGGGAATCCCGTCTTACTTTCGTTCGTATCACTAAGGAGAAGAGGGTTCCTTTTTCTTAACCATAATTTGCAATGTTAATGGCGTGTTGCTCGGAAGACTTACGAAGGATCTCCGAATTTCCGACCGTGAAAAAAATTCACCTGGGTAAGGGAGGATAATTTTTTTTTTCATAATCACTCACTCGATTCAATTTTTTTCCTCTAACACAAATTCATGACCGTTTTACAGAGTTCGCTTGGCTTGTGGAACCTGAGGGAATGCCAGTTATAGAAGACAAAGAAGACAATGAAACACATGACGATTGACTAACTTGCCGCACAATGGGATAGAAATCTGCCTCACCTACCTTCTAGCGTCATCTCGACCGTCACCATTTCTCTCGTCGTCATCCTTGTTGAAAACCACCATAATTATCATCATTGAAATCATCATCGTCATCGTCACCACTATTATCATGATCATTAACAGTCTCGCAATAATCGTCATTTCAGTGAACATGGTCATGGTACCCATTCGAAATAAATTTCTTTCGCGTAGTGTTACGTACCCCTGGAACTCTCCTTTCTCCTCTCCTTTTCTCCTCACAGTGTAACTGGTAATCCAAACATCACGGTTATGTTAATGAAGGAAATGATTGCCTATGGATTCTCCTTAATTGCCAGTGCCATGGAAAATGTATAAAGAACAGTATGGAGAACATGTATATTGACTTTGGGGTCTAGAAGGTCAGTGCACGAGATGTTCCTAGGTAGGAAATTGATAACATCTCTTGCGTGACTTTTTTTCATGATGTAGTTCATCCGCAGTAAGGTACCAACAGATTATAAAGGTATTACTAATAATCACTTTTCTTTTGCACTTATACATGGCGTCATTGCGACTCCAACACTTCACTCCCTTACAAAGTTTTGATTATGCATATCTTCATCAAAGAAGAAAATATTATATTCTGTTCACGAAACCCAAACAGTGGATAAGATCTTTTTTTTTTTTGATTAACAATCTTCTGTCCGTCAGTTTTCTTTTTTTCGATTCAACACGGATTGTTAATTAGTTAATAGTTTGATGTACGTTATAAACGTGAAATACTTTCAGATCGAATCGAAATTTGAAAGTGCATCATGGTTAATGATATTAAAGAACACTGTTTAAGACCCCATGTCTGATTTTGTAGAGAGTTTGAATTGTGTCGCTCAAGCCTTGTTCCTTTTAAAGAACTCAAGGTGGTTGCTACACATTTCAGGAGGACGTTCTGAGCATTCTCCCTCGAAAAAATTAAACAACTTGCGCGTTTCCGGTCCCTAGAGAACTAGAAAGAAAAAGCGTACTTGAATTGAAGCAGGCTTTGTGAAAATAACATTCACAATCAGACAGCAGAAAAGTCATTTGCATATAAACCGATTTGGCCAAAATACAGCTGAACAATTTCTTGTGACGACCTCTCTATCATTTAATCAGGTATAATCATTTCAGCTGCAGGCCATGCTGAATTGTATCGACTCGGTGATTCAAAATAAAATCATTATTTAACAAATCACTTTGATAGGTATCCTAAAAAGATCAGTTAACTCGAAGGGGTGAATTTTTTTCTTTCTTTCTTTTAGTTCGGTGTTCCCAATGTGTCACGCATACTTCTCTATGCGATTCGAGTTTGTCATTGATATCTTCGAGAGGCGGAGAATCGAGATATTTATAAACTCATGCCCGGAAATAGTCTCTCACACTTTTTTTAACCATTGTAAAGCTATGACATATGAAGTGGCTCTTTTATGTAGTTTGTTTGCTTTCGGTTTGTCTCGTAAACTTGAGGTGCCCAGCGACTTCCACAAATTCTTCACTAATTAGAGTCCTCCTTTCCCTCCCCCGACATGATGACATGATGACCACTGATTTTTTTTATCATTTTTTTTTTCTTTGCGTGACTATTACTATATGCATCAATGCCCTGATTTTATCAAAGGGCAGCAAGGTTATTCACCAACACGGCTAAATATGTAAACAACGTATCATCTGTCTTCTTATTTCACACTGAACATTTTCTTTCGTCTGTCGTTTATTAACCCATATTATCACGTGCGGTTTGGTTACTTTGGAATAGCAACTGGTTTCGGTGAGCACCTCCTAGATGCGTAGGACAGAAGAACATATCTTGGGTATTAAGAAAGCAGATTTTAATTACTCAAAGAAAGATTAGTCACCACATGTGGATCGAGTTGAATGCTCGTTTGATGCAAGGATGTTGTCATACTGGCGTATTCTTGTGAATTTGTAGATAGGGTACGGCGATTGAAACATTTAAACACCAAGAAACAGTTTTGCTCAAACTGAAAGATCCAGTGGTGAATCAAGAAAATATTCTCACGATATAAATAGATTGTTTGATCATCTATTTTTTTTTGTCGCGCAGCTTTGACTTGCGAAAACATCAGGATATGTGAGTTCATTCTGTATGGAGTGCCTATTGTTTGCCCGTAGCTAGTAAAGCGACCTCGAAATTTCACAGTACGTGCAAGACTTTAAGTGAAATTGATGGTTCCTGACAAGCATGTCATCGAGTCCTGTTTGGAAAATGCGAGTTAAGTATGAGCCAGTGTCTGGGAACACCGATGAATTAATTACCGAAAAAGGAAATCGTCAAAGTTCAAGCTTAAGTGATGATACATCCATTTCATCAGCCACAGCTCTGACAGATTATGAACCAATTTTAGCAAAGAACCAAGCAAGACGTGCAGCTAACAACAATTTTGAAGACAATGTCCCCACTAGTGGACCACAGAGAAAACTCAAGAAAATATCCCGAGGTGTTTTTGGCAATACTCGAATTACTATAAATATCTCCGGATCAAGGTTTGAAACCTTCGAAAGCACGCTCGCAAGGGTTCCTGATTCATTGTTGGGAACGCCATCAAAAAGGGCGCCGTATTATGACTCGACAAAGAACGAATTTTACTTCAGCACGGACCGTGGTGTATTTGACAGTATCTTATTCTATTACCAATCTGGCGGAAATACCGGTGGGATTCTTGTGAAACCGGATGGGATACCAGACGGAAAATTTCTCGAGGAGGTCAAGTTTTTTGAATTGGGAGAGGACGCCGAAAGAAAACTGGGATATAACGTGAAAAGTAGAGACATTTCAGTGGAATCATTGCCCAGTAGAGAGTGTTCTTCAAAAATAAGACAGCTGTTCGATTCAAGCAAGACGAAAAAAGCATCCCCTTTGCGTAAAGTTGTAGACATTTGGACCATATTCATAACAATCTTTTTCATCACTTTACTTTGTGGCAAAACAGAATACTCTCTCAGAGAAGCTTTTGTTTTGGACCAATGTTGTGACCAGAACAAAACAGACAATTTATTCCGGCGACGTGAAATCAAACTTTTCTGGTCGTTCAGCGAAAAATTTTGCATTTCGTGGTTTACGCTGGAGTACGCTCTTCGAGCATTCAGTGCAACAAGTAGGGTGGCTTACTTAATTTCAGCTCAGGGTATTTTTGATATGTTATCTTTCTTCCCTCACCTAATGATGCTCATAATCCAAGCTTTAGCGTCAGAAACCTCAACAATTCCTTTGCAACGCGTGCTTCTGTTCCTCACGTTCTTTTCACTTTTCAAGCTGACTCGCTACTCGTTAGGCTTACAAGTGTTCTTGAAAACAATTCAGACAAGCCTTAAAGAACTAATGCTGTTGTTACTTTGCGTGGCAATCAGCCTGGTACTGTTTTCATCAGTGATATATTACTGTGAAAGTACTGTCCCAGCGACTAATTTCACAAGTATCCCCGCCACATTTTGGTTCACCATCGTTACCATGACTACGGTGGGATACGGTGACATAACGCCAGTCACAGTGGCGGGAAAAGTTTTCAGTGCGCTGTGTGCAGTATTCGGAGTTTGTTGTGTCCTGGCGATACCATCAACAGTCATTGTCACAAATTTCAACTTCTTTTATCTGAAACACAAGGAAATTGCAAAGCCAAAGAAACAGAAACGGCCGAAGAGTAGGATGACCACTCTGCAAAAATGGGTGACCCAGTTTCGAAGCGTATCAATGTAAGAGACTTTCTCGAGAAAACTTTGATGGGAGAGAACGGTCAACTAAAGAAAGAGAATTATGCAGATTTTCTGGCCCGAGACAAATTTGGATTAAGGCTTTGATAGAGTTTACTGATGTTTCGTATGAATCTGTTGGCGTTTCCTCACAAATGCAACAATCTGTTTGGCTATGCGAATTACCATATATTATGTTATAGATACTGAGTAGACTAAGAAGCCTTAATAGTGTGCAGCTATAAACAAAATGAGATAAAAACATGAGCCTATGTTGTTGTTAGGCTTTGAACTACTGCTGGATTTTTATTAATCCAATTAGATTATTCTTTCTCGATATCTGTGCGTAATATTTGATTCAAGCTTCGCCCTTGTTAAATTTATCGCGCGATAGAAATGTCTAAACCGAAACAGTTGTGTATGAAATATGAAAAAAGCTTTTCTTGATCTTCAAGACATACTCTATACCAGCCATAGGATAAAACGTAGGTTGCTAACAACGTCTAGGGACTAGTCATTGTTTATCGTCAGGGAGGGGGAGGGAGGTGGTAGAGGATTTTGGCTGGGTCAAAATAAAATTTATCTGATCTACCCAAAAAGCCCTGTAAGGCTCTTATGATCAAACCCCCCCTCCCCCTCAGTAGGAATCTTTAGCAAACCACGGCGGCGACGGCCACGGAGATGAGGTAAAATAAAATATCTAATGAGCAGAACAATAGCTCAGCACGTGCGTTTTAAAACTGTGTGCATTTCTTAGCCGTCCTCTGCAAAATGACAACGTGAGATCATCAAAATTTAAGTTTCCATTTGGAACTCAACGCCGCCCTCATACTTTATGCTGTGGTTAACTTGCGGCGCCGTAAGAGATGGTAAACACACCCAATCATTCGCGAAATTCTAACTACAGATATATATTTATTTCTAAATAGAAGTTTTCCTTGGCGTTGCCGTCCCTTGACAGTTCACAGGCAGTGAATTTTCTGTAGTCCTTCCTTTCTATTCTATTGGTGACAACCGATAACCCCTCTATTTCCCTGGAAACAATGTAACGCCCCCAAAAATACTCCACCCCCACCCCCCTAGTGATGAGTGCTCCCTAACATGGAATTAGTCCAGAAAATTCAAAGCAGCAGTCAGTCACCAGAACAGACTTGATGAGACTAAATGATTTATTGTGCAGAACGTGGAAACGATACAAACATATTCTGTGCAGGGATAAATAAAGATTGTGTTTATAACAGCCGTACGAGTTTGCTGCTGAAGTGTCTCACTAAATACATTATGAATATTAACATCCATCGTTGAACAGCTCCATTTCATGAAATTGCGTTTGCGCATCAAGTTCTCCAATTAAAGTATATCTTTGCAGAAGTTGATTATACTCATTATCTTAACACTATTTAAACAAACTGATGAACGCTAAGCATCCGTTTTGCAGTTGAAAAAGTCTGGAAACACATTTCAAGATGAAATCATTTAACTTATTACCTCTAACACCCTTAGGGGTAAAACCATTTTGAACATCTTACAGTTATATGACTCAATTAAAGCAATCAATTTTTTGAGTACTTATACGATTTTTTTGACCCAAAATTGTCCTGTGTTTTCTCGTCTATTAATAGAAAGTTAGCAAGAATGTGCACGAGAACTAGCAATTAGGTTGTGTGTCGCCGTTCGTCTGATCTGTAAAGCATTACAAATGACTTCAAGACACTGGAGGCGCAGCCAACTGAGTCACTGACGTTCTCACCGTATTTTGACGCCTTCTGCGATCTATACCTGTACAGGCTATTGGAACATGGAATCTATTTGTTTATTATATAATAAGCTCAGTTATGCACGCATTCTGATTGGTTCTCACTTATGATCTATTGGAGGACAGACGTATAGATGACGTCATCATTAAAACTTTTTTCAATTTTTATTACATAAAACAAATAGATTCCAAGTTGCCGTTCGTCTGTTCAGTAATAGATCACAGAGGACGTCAAAATGTGGTAAGAACATCAGTGAAACACTCGGCTGCGCCTCGTGTGCCACTTTTTTGTTAATTAGATGAAAAAGGGAAATGCTGTTAATGGTGACTTTGTCTTATAATTCGGCCTATTATTTAATTTGCAATATAACACGGGTAGCATATCATTGAAACAAAATAGCAATCACAGCTTTACTGATTCAATGATCTACCGCCGTCCACTCGGATGATCTGTCCAGTTATGTACTCTGCTGAGGAGGCAAGGAATTTCACTGCCTCAGCAATGTCGCTAGATTCGCCTTTACGATTTAGTGGAATCTTCTCCAGAATCTCCGTCATTTTAGATCCCGACGATTTTTCGCTTATGTGCTCGGGCCATAAGATAGCTCCAGGGCTGATACCATTGACTCGTACAAAAGGTGCGAAATCCTTGGCAAGGGCCATGGTGCACATGCTCAGACCAGCCTTTGAAATGCAGTAAACTGAATGCTTTTCAAGTGGCCGATCAGCGTGGATATCCAAAAGGTTAATTATGCATCCGCCTGTGGCCTTTAAGCTGGGAAAGGCAGCCTGAAATATCCATTAACAAAAAAGTATATATTTTTCTGTTTCCTTAATGCATCATTGAGTAATTTATGACATTGTTTCTCGATTTTGAACCCACGGGGTTGTTTGAATGTTTTTAAGTTCATCATCTATAATTTGCATAACTGTTATTTGCAAAAATTATGACAGCAAATTTGACTTTAATGTCGCGACCACAAATGAGCTATTTGCTATTGGTGGAAGTATTACCATTATTGCTATTATTATTATCATTATCATTAATACTGACATCTTAAGTACTATTATCTAATCATTACTAATTTTTGAATATGCCATTTGTTGTCATTGTTATTACACTATCATCATTATTTTCAATTATTATTATTTTCAAGCATCTGAAAGATTCTCCACATTGTCGCGCTCTGTGCTCAGCAGATAACTTCCATGTTTTAGATCACGCCTCTACCGGCTTTCAACTTAAGATAAAAGAGAGGCTATTTATATTCAAAGAGAACAACCACCCTTGAATCAACAATTAAACCATGTAAATCTAAAACTATCCTTTTAATTCTCACACTTTCATGCTTTACCTCTTTTCTTGTTGTTACTATTTATAATAATTAGCATTGTTCTACCTACTATATAATTCAACTTCCAACGATTAGTACAGTAGTTAACTGAAGATGAAAGAAGTTTCTGTCGAAACATGTTTTACAGACTCAAAAGTTTTGTCGCTTTCTTTAAAATCATCATTATTATTGTTATTATTGTAATAATTTCTATAATCATTCTAATGATTAATGGTTTGAACCTACGAGCTCGTGCAATTTTGTTGTCTTAAAAATTTACTCGTGCTTATTTACACCAAATTGCACTAGAAATCTTGTTATTACCTATACATCTATTATAATCTAACCCTTTACCCAAGTACTATACCCTTTACCTGCGATAGGAAGAATGGTGAAGTCAAGTTCGTCTCCAGGAGCTCTCTCCAGGCCTGTTGAGTTACTTTCCCAGCTTCTGTTGGGTAGAATTGAGATGCGTTGTTCACTAATATGTCCAGTTGCCCCCAGGCCTTTAAGGACTCCTCGATAACCGTCTGTGACGTTTTCTGTGAATCATTCGCCAAGTTAGCTTGAATTTTACGAGCGGAATCCTGCCGAACACTGAAAAAGAATTCAGATACTCGTTTGTTTTCATATTACTTCCTTTTCTCGTGTGCTGTCCACTCTTACGAATCTGCAGCTTTTGTATGGCAAAATAATGACTAAAATGACTAGAAGTGACTTTTATATGCGTCAATAAATCCCCTTAGAACACATATTATTGGGCCGCCGTGTTGCCACGTGACTTTTCAATAGACCATTTACGGTTATTTATGTGGTTAACCCTTCAGCACCAAAATGTGACTAACATCTAATTTCCCCTTGCAATGTTACCTCTGAATCAAACATTAAGGTCACGAGAATAAAGGACATGATCACCAACTAAAGAAGCTCTTAATTGTCAAACAGGAATGTTTGACGAGCAATTTTGAGAAATGCATATTGATGTAGGAGTGCATGTTAAGGGTTAACGTCTGAGCTAATTTAAACTTATCATTTTATACAGAATGCTTTTGACTTTTATCATGGTCCCACTTGTACAGAAAGAGTTGGATGTCTTTAGAGAAACAGTGTGGAACACACACAGAATACGAGCACAGAAAGATACAGTACTTCCGGACGGAATACCAGACCACATCTATAACTTTCCAGAGCAATATAACCTTAAAGACTGTGTTAAGCGTTATACCCCTTGTTTATGTAAAAAAAAAAAAAAAAAGAAAAAAAAAGTGTCTGGGTAGCCCTTAAAAGGAAGTGGAGGGGAAATGGACAGAAAAAGAGGGGCATGTAATGCACCAAGATAAACAAAACGTTCTCGTTGGTCTGAACCTATTAGACATTAATCATGTCAAATGTCTCCAAATTAGTTATTTGTTGAAGAAAAACCATAAAATTGTTGTCATGTCTTCAAGAGTAAATTCTAATTGGATAACATGTACAGTTTGTAACTTGGTGTTCCCATTGAACTTCATCAATTAATTTTTGGGTATTTACCAAAGCTTGGGGTTACTGAAGGTCCTTCCTCTACCATTACCCCTTCTCCTCCCCCTTAACCTTTTAACTGCCATAAGTGACCACGACATAATTTCTTCTTTTAATATCAATATAACATCAACCAGATAATTGATGAGAATAGACAAAAATGTCAATTTGGGGATAATAAGTCGATCCAATACTAAATTCTCTGACCTAACATTATAAGAATTGTATGGTTGACAATAAGGAGAAAGACAAATTTGATCTGGGAGTTAAAGGGTAAAGGCCACTGTGCAGTGAAACCCCTAAAACACACTTTATTGAGAAATGACCATAAAGTTGCATTCTTCCCCTTTTTTGATAATATTAAGATAATCCCCTCGGCCCTGAAATCTATTACAAGTAACTTCAAAAGACATTGAAGCAAATTCATACTCATTCCAGACAGTGAGATCCCATATATTATCAGAAGTAACATAATGTTCTCCACCTCGTAAGTCTGTCTATTAGACTCACACTCCAAGCCCCAGAATTCTAGAATTTACAGCAGTGCATGAACATATCTTCATAGTGTGACCACAGTTGAGGGCTAACACTTAAACTAGGTAACAAGTACTTTAGGAAAATACAAATAGCACTAATTAAACATTTTACTTAGTTATTGTATAGTTAGTGTTGGCACTCAATCTATTTATTCCCTCAACTACAAATTTGGTGGTCAGAGAGGAACAACTTGAGAAAGTAGGAAAAGAATCTGGTGTTCTGAGAGTTCCAGAGGACTTCCTGACTGAAGAATTCAGAGGAGAATGCGAGTGTCTGACACCATTAAATCAGATGAATGGACAACTGCATATTTGTACTTGAAGGACAAGTGCACCCTTTCAATTTGATAATTTTATTCTTCATCATAAAAACTCTAGTATAGTGTATTTTTATTAAAAATTGTTCATCTGTATTAAAGTATGTTGTTATATTATGTTTTGCTGTTGATCAATTAGGCATTCAAGTGTAAAAGCAACTGTAACTCAAAATTTTTTTTTCTGTCAATTATATTTATACCTTACATGATTTTCTGTTAATCAATTAAGTGTGAATCAGCCTTTGCTCTATAGCTTGTAATGATGAAATTTGTAAATGTAGATTTGATATTTTTATTCTTCATCATAAACACTCTAGTATAGTGTATTTTTATTAAAAATTGTTCATCTGTATTAAAGTATATTGTTATATTAAGTTTTGCTGTTGATCAATTAGGCATTCAAGTGTAAAGCAACTGTAACTCGATTTTTTCTGTCAATTATATTTATACCTTACATGATTTTCTGTTGATCAATTAAGTGTGAATCAGCCTTCGCTCCATAGCTTGTAATTATGAGATTTGTAAATGTGCAGTCATAGTCTCTAACAGGAACATGAACTTGAGAAAAAAATTATTCGTCATAAATTGAATAAATAGTTTGGTTTCTGCTTCAACATGTTATTATATGATTTTTAGTAAAAAGTAAAGCTTGTTACATAAATGGCCTATGTTGTTGGTCTTAAAGTCAACTTCAATAGATTGCAATACTTGTTGCACACATGATCATCAAAAAAGTTTTCCATGGCAATGTGCAACAAATTGCCTGTACAAAACTGGTAATTGCCTTCATCACCTAGTAAATCTAGAGAGGCAATTTCTGGATCATACAGAGTATACCCAGCACCCTGAATGTCTAAAACTATTAGCTTGCCCTGTGACTACTCATAAGTGAACTGTGCAAAGGCCTGTGCCTTGTCACAGATATCTCCATTTTCACATAGTTTACCATTGTTGTTAATATATTTCACAAAGTCATCATCAATGAACTCCTCAATTGTAACATACTTCCCATCATCCATTTTACCCATGAATATTTTTCTGTATTCAAAGATTTGGCCAAAACCTTCAATTTGCTCTTAAACAATCTTATCTTTCATCTGTGAGGCAAAATTCCTCGCCAAACTGGGCATTTGCACTGGCTTTTGTGTATGTATCTGTTCTGTCTCCTTGATTTGTTTAATAAATTCTAAAGCTTCCTCTAAATACTTCTTTACCACCCATGTTCTTTTTTTTTAAACCATCTGTAATGCTTGTTGCCTTAAATGCTTTTCTGAATCCACCAGTACCAAATGGTAAGTCTTCAATCATAAACTCAGCTTTTATAGGGAAATTTGACCACAGCATATTGTTGAAATCAAATTCATAAATGGATATGATTGTGGATTTCCTTTCAGGACGCAATTTTCCCAGAGAGAGCATATCCTTGAGGGATCAACTTTTAGGGTAAAATTTACTTGGTTGGTTTGGTTTGGATTCAGGCTTCTTGGGGCTTGGAAGAGACATGACCACTTTCCTTGTTTTCTTTGGTGGCTATCACATCGTAAAGGAAAAAAAAATAATGTTAATAGTTTGCCAATTTTATATTAACACAATTTCTGTGATATCTTTTTCAACCCAAAAATCCATGGATTATAAAAGCCAAGCGAACTCTGTCAATATCATTGATTTGATTTTCTAGCTGTTTACCAAAACGACAAGAGACCGTGGGCACCGTCATGTTTTCACACCTTCGTGAAATCCAAACATTATCGTGATCTGCGTGCAGGAATACATTCAGTAATCATCTTAAAATATTCGTAAAACTTTATCATTTCAGTAATGGAAGACGGATTAATAAAGCAACATACCTGGTTAGATTGGCGATCATCGTCCTCATCACCTTCAGGCATTATAAACCACACGTAGAAGACTTTCAGGTCCGGTATTTGGCTTATCTTTTTGCAAGATAGGCCGCGCTCACCAACGAGGATATCGCATACCATACCTTTTCAATTTGTCTTGCAAAGTACTTCTGACAAGATTCAACAATATTTTCAAATGACAACTCGTCAAATTCAAATGGCACAAATAGACCTTTTTACAGTTCCCGGCGCCATGTGGGATTAGTAACCGCGCACACACGATAACGAGGCTGGGGTTGACCCGGCGGTTCTTTCAAACAGCTGATCTGCTGACATTTCACGTTCTAATGCACTTTTCAATGCGATTTCTCCCTTTAAAATGGTTCTTTAATACAACAATATGTAAATTTCGCCATTAGATGACATCCAGAAACTCGAAGCAAAAGATTTCAGGGAGATTTTAAGATCTAATTCAAAATCGACGGGCGGAATCTATTTGTTAACTGTAAAATTTTGAGTGGCAACCCTCGGCCACCATAGTGCTAGGTCAGAGCTAGCAAAGGGTTAACGCTCAAAACGTCATATTTGAAACTCTTAACGGTGGCCAATTTACGTTATTAACTTTATTGATAATGACAACTGAATTACCCAGTAAATTTTTTTTGGCATTTTCAGGACTCTGATCGTAACCTATGGTTTTCTTCGCCTATGGTTCATTTATTGGAATATCAATATAGCCTATTTTAATTTTCTGACGAGTTACCAATATACCTTAAAATTCGAAAAAAGTTTTATACCAAATACCCAGAATTCCCTGGAGTTGATGCCTAGGGTCTATGCACAAGATCCTAAAGTCTCATTTCAAATGGGGTAATATAAACTGTTATCGTGATTCGAAAATACCTATTGCTCGATAGAATAGACCTTTGATTCCTGTGGAATACTCCCAAAACATAAGCGGGTCTTCAATTTGATATTTTGTGATAGTTTGCGATTGCGCCTTCTTTAGTATCTCTAAGTAAATGAAAATACGAGTAATAGTTACCTATTTAGTTGTTGAACCAGCTTAGTAGCATCTGTGACAGACGTGTTGTAATGCACCAAGACATTATATCCAATTTCGTGAAGTTGTGTCGCAATACATGCACCAAGCCGCCTCGCCGCGCCTGTCACTAAAGCAACGGGACTCTTAGCACAATGAGCAAACTCATTCAAATGTAGCTCGTCATTGGCTGGCTTCATGCAGATTCCGTCCTGCACATACTTCACTTTATCAGCCAGAATCAAGCCATCTTCCATACCATTTGTGTGAGCTCCATTACTCCAGCAAATCTGAGTGACAGGAAAGACGGAACGGAAGTCCTGGTTACCACTCACTTCCATCGCGATCGATTTTAAAGGTTTTCTCGCAGTTGGATGAACGAAATCCGGTGTGACGTCAGCAAGTGGTATAATCACGTGAGAATGCTTGCAAGCGTCTGGCTCAGGAATGAACCACGTTTTTACAGCACAACCATCGTTGAGTTTGTATTCACATTCCATGTTTCCCCAGAATGAAATGTCCAGGTCGATAGTCCTTGGTGCATTCTTATTATCGGAAATTCGAACCCGTCCAAGTTTATTTTCAACCCGTAACAGCACCTGTTTTAACCTGAACAGAATGAAAAAGAATTGATTTCAGTTCGAGAGGAGTATTCAAATGAGAGTGAAACACCACCAAGGACTGTAAAAATTTTCAATTGAGTGTCGAAAGTAATCCGAAATTGCATTGGTTTGTCTTTACTTCGTTCTGTGATTGGCCCAGAAAACTCGCGCCACTCTCTCAACCAATCAGATGAAAAACTATGGACAACCACGAAAAGCTCCAATGTCAACCAAGTCATAGGTATGAAGTCTAAAAAGCACTCTTGCTAGTTCATCATTAAGGTCAGAGTTTTGAAGCGATTCAGTACATTCAAGCGTTTTATATATATGTAAATCATATATGTGAACTGCAGCTGAAGAAATGAATACGGAAGCGATCCTCGCAGTTATGAACACTACTTAAGTAGTGGTGAAAATAAGGCCAGAAAAACAAATGAAATTAAAAATAATAATTATAATAATAAATGAATAAAAAAATTGAAATTTGTATTTATTTATTTTTTACAGGCCTTATTTTTATTATTACTCATCTAGTGTTTATAACTGCGAGGATCGCTTCCTGCTCATTAGTATGCGTAAATATCATGCCATCATTAAGGTCAGAGTTTCAAAGCGATTCAGCGCATTCAAGCGTTGAATAGTTAAAGTTAGAAATTTGCATGTCAATTTATGCCGGAGACAGTTGCTCACTGATATGCGCAAATATCTGGCCATTCTTGGGGATGGTGTGATTATCTCGTTAGCAAAGTAACATAGTTAGTGGTAAGGAAATGAGTCAAATATACAGGTAATAACTACTAAAGGTGGGAGGCGCACATCTTTGTTTTTATGGGGCGAACTCGTCGTCACGGAGGCGAACAGGTAGGGGGCGAACTGGCAGTGGAGCGAAACCTCCATAATCCAAGTTCGTGATACCTTGATGTGCCACACTATGAAGCATCAGCTGATTGTAAAACGAGACACCAGCAGGTGTGATCTGATTACTGAGCAGTTTTTCAAACTAACGGTGTACATTTTTGCATTGTAGCACCTTGAACAGTCAGGCTCCTTTTTTTTTAATCTGAAAACGTGATACCTACAAAGTTGAAAGCCCTATGGAAACTGCTCTATGAAAAGGGCGGGAATGATCAGTCCGTGATGGTTATCAGATTTGATAACCACGAGACGTCACAACGTGGCGACCATTATGGAAATCAAAGATTTTCCTACCCGATTTGAAATGTTCTCTGTTTATTATTATTGCTCGCCGTATGTACCAATAATTCTATTGGAAATTAGTGAATAGAAACTAATCTTCGTGTGTATTCAAGATGGTGCTCATCAAGGAGTTATAGAGTCGAAATTTATGGCAGGACAGTTGAAATGACACGTTTGATTGAGGTATGTTTTTCAACTTTACCTTAAAGTTTACGCTAATCATTTTTTCCGGAGTCAAAAGAATTATGGAGCTGATCTTCAATCTTTTTTCTTTCGATGCAACTGTTAATTATCGCGGCGCAAACTGCAGGGAAAAAGTGCATGGGGTGGTCTTGATTTACGTGTAATTCAGTCACCAACCGCCGTTTTGTGTTTTAGACAATTGTTTTTGATCTTTGTGCTTATTATCCGAACATTGCTGTCTAATTTACGATTTCTTATCACTACTGTTAAGGATATCGAACAAAAGAACAGCCCTTTTTTTTATTGGGGATCATCACTAGAGCTAGTTTGGGAAATTGTAAATCGGTCGGGGAAATTTTACATTTTTCGGGGAATTTCATAAACCTATGGCTGTAGCAATCATGTTGTAAATACATGTACTTCCGTCTAAAAGTTAATTGAAAATGTTGCGGATAATATAATGTGTAATGATATGATATCATAAAGATGTAATTGTTTAGATTTTGTACATTTTTTTAGTAACTCTTCAATGCCTCTTTACAGATATTTCACCTTTCCCTCAGTGGCATACTTCAGGAAAAATACCTTTGAAGTGAAGAAAAGCAGACAAGATTTGTCATTTAAACACTTGATGCAAGTATAAGAGCCAAGACCTGAAGTTCAAACGACACCTTTGTCTACAACTGGAGAAGATGGAGTTAAAGGGGAAGGCAACGAGAATGCAAATAAATCAGAGAATTTCCAGAGAGCAGACAAGAAAAATTAAGCTTCTCTCTGATGAAGATGTCAAGACTGTGCTTCAAATTAAGCTCAGTAATTTTCAAGGAAATGTCCTCCATAAAAGAAGAAATTTTTCTTTTGTCTTCGATTAAATGTGGGAATGAACTCAAACAGGATATGGACACTGAGCACGAACTTTCATTATGGAATATCATGATCATGAAGTTTATTTTCAGTCACTGCACACTTCCCTTTGCATATTTGGGTCATCATTTCCATCATTGTTATTGTTACATGAAACTGCGTAACTGCTCTGACCATGGCATTAAATGGGTTTTAGCATTGCACTTCGTTCATTTAAATAATTGGTCTAAGCTTTGGTTTCTTGCTGGGAAAGCAAGAAATGATCTGACCATTTTCATAATTGTTTCCCCAATTTTACTTTATTTGTTCATTCGAAAAAAGTGTATCTTCTTGGATGGCTTTGATTGAAGTAGTTTTGTGCGATTATTCTTATGTGGGAACCAAATTTCCGTTTTCGAATTAAAGGTTTAATCCTCACAAAATGAAAACTCTAATAACTAGGAAAACACAACTCAAAATCTCTGCTCTCTCAAAAAACGTCCCCGATACGTATTTTTACGAGGTACGTAACTAGAACCGAGGCTCACAATTTCAAAACGAGGTTATCAGTCACGCAACTCCAAGAAAACAGAAAAAATAGTCACGACACCTATGTACTGAATAAGATGATTTTCAATATTGAAAAGGTGTTATCAAATAAATCTTTCCTACTGTTCTCCATACATTTTTTATCAATTGGAGTTTCGCCCATGGGCTGGAGCCGTTTTTTATTTGAAAGATTCAATAGTGGAGTAGCAGTGCTGAAAATGAACTTTTTTTCTTTCGCTCAAATACATAATTGGAACGTACCAAAACGAGCGCTGAAAAACCTGAGGGCAACGCCGTCCGCCAAGAAAGCAAAATAACACGAATGAAAACTATTGAGACTGAGAGAAAAGTAGAAGAAGCCATCGTACTTTCAAATCTAATAACGGTCCGAAATTTTACCTCTCCATTTGTGCAGCAATTTGTGAGCTACAGTCACAAGTTCCAGTCGAAAACAATCGGTTTAGTAAACTCAAGGTGGCTCGGCCTTCGGACTCCATGTTCATTATATTATTGTTGCCCAAGTAACATGCCACGTGAACGTAAATCTGAGCAGCGATTGGTAACTATTTTGTTTCGGTCTGGGTTATCAAATTTGATAACGATCCCGGACTGATGATATAGAAAAAAGAATTTCTACCATTGAAGTAATGGATGGCCTTGGTAACGTTACTGGCAATGACTAAACACTCACTTGATATTTATACTTGAAGTAAAATTATTCAGGCGCATACCGCCCTGCAACACATACCCATCAAAAATTGACCTAAGCACCCCCCTTCAGGCTCCAGTCCCTAGGTGACGACCATTTCTTAATTGCAATACTCACCCTGCTGGGTCGAGTTTGGTCTTCACAATGGCTGCCATATTGATAAAATCCTCCTGATCTGTGAAACCAACGGGAGTCGTTCTGAAGGCGCCGGACAACTTCACAATGCCCATTTGCTCTCTTAACATACTTAAGGCCAACGGCAAATTCATCTGAGGTTCAATGTTCGATCCGATTGATATGTGAACGTCATTCCACTCAAAGTCTTCCAAGCATCGCTCAATCGTCACAGAAGAACTTTCAGAGAAGCGCAGGGAGTTTAGTTTGTAGACAGTTACCTTAACTGACCGAACACCATGTCGCACAACGCAAATACGGGCAACGTCGGTGGCAACCGCTTCGATCAGATTGTACTTCTTGTTCTCGACATGAAATAGAACGTCTTTTGTGATGGTTCTGTAGTTCATGGTGTCTTCTACACAATCTGATTCGCCAGCTTTCTTGATTGAGGTTCGAAGATGCATAGTAATAGTCAACTCTTGTGGCTTCCCTATTTCGTGAGGACTGAAACCAACCTCTGAGCGGACACGAAGACCATTTATTTTTAAAACATCCATTTTCTGTTGATGATTATCCTGAGCAACTGGAGAAGATAATGCAATGACAATATGAAACGATTAATTTATATCCATCATCCTTAAGGTGCTTTTTTTTCCTTTGACGACAATAAGAAATACTTCAATTAAATGTGAGCATACCTCTTCCCGCGTTTTGTCATGAATGTTACGATCTGATAAACATGCCCGTTAGCTTTTACCAATCAAGAGAACGATACACGATACGCATTGATTGCTGCAAGGTCAGGCAATTGTTGGCTTCTTATAGCTGATATTCGCTTCAATAACTTCCATCTATTGTATACGTTTATATAATGCCGGAAATTTGGCTGGTCCAACGGGTGCAAGGAATCAGACACCTTTTAATGGCCTAACTGGGGGTGGAATCAGAGAACACAGCTCCGGAATCTGGGATTAAAAACCATGAGATCAGGATCAGCAGTGTTTTTTCATGGAATCAGTAAAATGCTTCAACAATTTTCACAAATTGTATGTATTTGCAATGTTTAAAATTTGGTTGGCCGGAGATGTGAATATTTCGTCCCTTTCAGAAGTAAAATAAGAGACCCATTCTGAACTTCAAAAACTGTCGTTGTTGATGTCGGCTTGCGTAAAAGATGCCCGCAATCTTTATGAATAGGTCGAAAGGTCAATAATGCGTAACGTTAATTGAATTTAAAGTGTAAATTTGAATACTTTGCACGCTATTGAGAATGGAAGGAACACTTTTTTGTCGAACCTGCTTTGCATTATGACTCAATAAAAGCTGAAAAAAGTAACGGAACAAGCCTCTGATTTGTAAGAGCTGTGTCCATCAACTTGACACTGTGGTCATGATCAGTTTGACAAAGAAAGCTTAATTATTACGGGTAATTAGTCTTCGCCATCTTCTCTGGTAATGACCTTTGAGATTAAGATTAAAGATAAAGCGTAAATGATATATAATGAATTTGGCAAGTGGAACCATGGTTAGTTCTATATTTGGGTTTATGCGTAGAAGACATTTACTTTCGATGTTTGAGGCCAATATTTTCCCAGACTTACACAAACGTTCCCTATGAGCCATTGAGCAGACAAAAGGCTCGGTGGTTCCAGAATCCTCAGGAGATTTTAGGCATCGTTGAAATCTCTTGTAAGCTCAGTGATCTATGTAGAAATATGTCTATATTGAGTTTCTGTTTCTTAAATGAAGTTAATTCTCTTAATTTCTTAGAGGGCTCACACTTGATGTCTTAGTCCAACTCTCATGCATACAAAAAGCCAGGGCCGTAAATTACTTCTAAGCTTCTTCTAGAGTTTTCTGTCAGAAACAGTTTTCTAGAACACAATGGAGTTTTTGTAAATAAATTTCTCAACACGACTTAATTTTGAAATGGAAAGTACAATTTGATCCAATGAGACTTATTGTGCATAAGAAAGGGATCATAACTCAAAATTTAAGAGATCGTGAAATCAAAACACCCACGAAATGAATGATAAGTGAATAAAAATATTTGGGAAAAGCAAATGAATAATAGGAACTTTTAAACTGTACATTGGTCTCTTGTCCAATAATTGATAAACATACCACCGGAGAATGGAAAATTCAAGAAAGTTAACGGTTATGATTTATTGAGAAAGAATTCATATTTTCAATTAATTACCCCAGTCCAAAGATCCAGAATTTCTTGTCATGGAAAATCTTAAGAATTCGATACTTTCGTATCTACGAGAGAATTGCTCCTCATCTAGTGCATTGAAATTTTCCATAGATCGTTCTTTCAAGTATTGACGCTTGTATTAGTATGTTATAAATTTTGACTTTGGTTTCGAGCGTGATCCTAGCAAATACGCATCACGTGCCTCTTCTAAATCTAGCAATTACTTAACTTACTACGGAGTTATCTTTGGCTCATGGAGGAACATCGGTGCCAGAGAGCAGAAAGTTCCCGTTAGATTCCTCACAAAAATCTTAAATTTTTTCTTCGACCAATACTCGTGACAAGACGAAAAACTTACATAATTTTGTTTGCCAAAATGTGCGTTCAAATTAAACGAAAATAAGAGGCCAAGAATTTTCCTTCCATAAAATCCCTCTAATTTTTTTTATGTCTCGATAAACAGTATGAGCTCTAAAATTGGCTTGGTAGTATATTTTAAGCTCCATTTTCATTTATGTGAACATTAATTGGCTGAAACATTGAGTTCACGTAAAGGAGGTCCTGAACTGTTGTATTTATCAGGCAAGATGTACATAACCGAAGTCCTGCGAATTTGTGCTCATCCTCATGTCTAAAATATTCACATACGTACGGTACTATGGCTTGGGAAAATACACGCAAGGGAACAAAATCTGGCAAGCAAAATCTCGATAGAGAAAAATATTTACTTTAGCGGTGCATAACTTGACAGGCAATTAAGAAACGACGAAGCGGCTTCTAAAAGGCAAATATAAACATGGATCCAGCGGACTCATTTTTTAACAAAACATGGCAAAATAACTCGACATAATTTAAAGAAAATTACTCAACGATATAAACACATTACAAGTAGCACACGATGTAACTAATAAAACATACAAAAACTCAATTGTGATTAACACGAAAACGCGACAATAGTGGGAAACGATATGACAAGAAGTTTTACGGTCGCACTAAGCAATTATTGGATGAAAAATATCAGGCAGACTTCAACCCGAATGTAACACTTGCGGCGACCAAAAAATCTTATTCGTAAGATTCGTTAGGGTGTCGCTCCAAGACGCGGTTAACAGGTGTTTGAGGCTATTTTACAAATCGAGATTGAAGAATAACAGGCCAAAGTTGACCGTTTACGCGACTACTCAAAAACTTACGAAGAAATGATTACAGGGACGCTAAACCCGCTTATATATGCGCGTGGTGACGCTGAAATATAAACAAACAGATAAACATTATAACTATGTTCGTATCTAGCTTATTCTGGAATAATCAATTAAATAAAAATGAGCCTTCTGGCTAGTGTCCTTAACAACGAATATAATAATTTTGTTATCAAAAATTTTCAAGAAATTACAATATTTCTAATCTCTTGACATTTCTTAATTAAATTTTTATAATAAAGTTCGGATGTAACGCGCGCTGTCATTGGTTGAAAGAGCGTGCTCTATGAGAGTATAGAGCATAGAGCTGAGCTAAAGCTGTCACGCCATCTGCCAAATTGTATTGTTCGACCTTTTGCGGGACTTCTTTTTAGCTTTTTTTCGATAAAGTGAAATTTCGGAACAAGCGAGCCGGCATGTAGCAACAGAAGAACCAAGCAAAGGTTTGTAAACATACCAGGCGCCGTAATTTACGTTATTAAAACGTAAGCAGATAGGAAAATCCTCAAAGGAAAAACAAAATAAACATTCCAAGTTTTAAAGATTTTCACGCTCAGTTAGATTGCAAGCTTATGTACGGTAATAATTATCAAACACAGCTAACACTCGTATAGGATATAAAGTTCAGTGTTAAAAAACAAAACAGAAATGATGAAAAATATAACCAAACTAGCATAACTGTTAAAATTCATACCAATCATAATGGTGTCTGAGCGAATATGATCAAGCTGAAGTCTGTCGCGGCTCGCTCATTATGGTGATCTCCGGTCATAACAGTAAAGCAAGCCTCAGAAACTACATCGGCCGCCCTTCGAGTGAAAAATAAGAGCTTGCTCTGATATCCTTTCCGATGCGTTGAGTGGAAAGTCACATCAGTCACTACAGCCAAGTTTTGCACCGCTGTCATCCCGAGCGATTTTCATGTTCCGGTGAATTCGGCTGTCGTTCATTCAAAAAACACTCACCTTGCACAGTTTGTTTTCTACCTTGTCATGTGAAAAAACTCGCGTGTTTTTATGAGCTGAAGTTTTTATTTATTTATTTGTTTTTTATTCGGCTGAAGTTCACTGAACATCTCACTTCAAGATTCTGTATTAGAGACTTAGAAACTTCAAGCAAAAGTGTTAAATTCGACTTGCCGAACTATTTTAGTTTGTAAACTATCGCAGATTGTGAACTTTGATGGTTTGACACTTTTGACAGCTTTTGTCTTGTACGGCCAATCAGATTATTTGAACCATTCTAACAGGGATTCTAAATCTTCAGACAACTAGCTCTAAAATATCAAGATTTCTTATCATCTAAATCTTGAGATTTCAGTACTTCTGTATCTAAGTAAGATGTGTTCGCCCTCGAATCCATCGAAATTTTCCATAACTTGTTATTGCAAGTAATGATGCTATTTTTAGAAGGAAATATACATTTTGACCTTGGTCTCGAGCATAGAAAATAGCAAAATTTTGTGTTCCAATTATGATTCGCGTGTTGCTTCGGAATCTGGTAATTACTAAACTTGCCACAGAGAATTCTGAAGCGCTGGAGGAACATCGGCGTCAGAAAATGGCAAGTCTGAGTTAGATTCCTCATAACGGTCTCGCTTTTTTCCTTTGACCAAACTCTTCACAGTACGAAAAACTTACAGATATTTATATACAAAGGTTTGCTTAAAAATTGAACGAAACTGAACCAGTTTTATATAATGCTCGCTGTCTTTAGTTGAAAGTGCGTGCTCTATCAGAGTACAAAACACGGAGCTGAGCTAAAGTTGTCACGCCATCTGCCAATTTGTACTATACTACTATGTCTGACAATTTTCCATACTTCTCTATGGCACTTTTCGTTAATTAGAAGAGAAGTCCTGGAACAAAAATCGGATATAACGCGCATTCTCATTGGTTGGAAGTGCATGCTTTACCAGAGTACAAGCGAGTTAACAAGTAGCAACAGAAAACCAAACAGAGGTTTGTAAGCATACTAAGCGCTGTAATTGACGTTATTATCGTGGAAAGAGACGGAAATTCTCAAAGAGAAAACGGAATGGACAGTCCGCGTCTTGAAGCTTTTCACGTTCAGTTAGATTGTGAGCTTTAGTACGGTAATAAAAAATCAAACAAAGCTAACACTCGTTTAGTGTATATAAATTTTAGTCTTCAAAAACAAACCAACAAAACAGGAATGATGAAAATATTACCAAACTGGCATAGCTGTAAAATTCATACAAACTATGATGGTGTCAGAGCGACTGCGATCATGCTGAGGTCCATCGCCGCTAACTCATCATGGTGATCTCAGGTCATCGCAGTGAAGCAAGCCTCAGAAATTACATCGGCCGTCCTTCGAGTGAACAACAAAGAGGTTGCTCTGATATCCTTTCCGATGTTATGAGTGGAGAGCCGGATCATTCACAGCGGCCGAGTTTACGGCGCTGTCATCCTGAGTAATCTTCATGTTTCTGTGAATTCGGCTGTTGTTCATTCATAAAACTCACGCCTTGGGCACTTTGTTTTGTAATTGTCATGTGAAAATACTTGTATGTTTTTATGAGCCACAAGTCGGCCGGATTTCATTGAACATTTCACTCAGTTTTTGTACTGAGACTAAAAAACCTTAGGCAAAAGCATTAATTGGACCTGCCGAACTATGTCAGTTTGTGATCTTTGACTGTTTGACAGTTTTGAGAGCCTTAGTCTTGTGCAACCAATCAGATTGTTTGAGCTTTTTTAACACGGATTCGGATTGGCTAATTGTGGCTTGCTTCATGTGAATGTAGTGCTTTATGAGAGGGAGCGATCTCCGGCCAAGTAAAATGCTACCCAGCCACTCTTTTGATGGTGGTAAGCGTGCGTATATGCATTAAGGTCCAGCGAGAAAGGACATGCGCAAAATGTTTCATGTGAGAACCATATACTTAAGATTTGAAAAGCAAATGATGAAGAAAGCAATATTCAATACAGCAATAAGAAATGAGTAAAAAAAAAACATTTTAGCCTAAAGACGGCATTTGAAAAAAAAAAAATAAAAAAAAGAAAGAAATTAAAAAAAAATTGTTCATAGAAATCTTTTTCCAGTTGTGGCTCCCCAATCTCGAGCAGAAAAAGATCAGAAATAACCGCGTTGAGAATATTGGTTCAAAACAGCCATGCAAATCCATTAGAATATGCAAAAGAAGATCTTTTGTGAGCATGAGATGACAGTTTTATTGTTAGTAAGAGGGAACACTTTTAAGCTCTAAAAAATAGGATAATGACCTGGACAGAGAAGTCAATCTCCAATCAGTAGCAAAAAGCTGGATGTAAAAATTATGTAAATGACTTTTGATGGAAGTTAGACCATTAGGCGACGCACGAAACCGATTGTGTGATCGTTGCTAACACAGTATTGCTGCTACACTTATTTTCTTCATTGCATCTTTTCTTGTGGAGTAACACCTGGAGTAAATGGTGAGTATTTTTCAATTCAAATACAAAAATCTGAGAAATATTTCGCTTGGCTTGAATCCATAGCATTTAGTTTGACTCGAATTTTAAAAAAAGGAGAACAACACTTATGTGTAAACGAACGCCACATATAAACCTTTCTTTTCATTTTCCTTGCTATTAACGCAAAAACCTTTATAATCCACCCATGAACTAAGGAACCAGAGCGAATTGTTACATCCTGTAGCTTTATTTTCCCATAAAAATCGTAGTTAACCGTCAATACGCTCTCAGTGTTCGGCTTTTCTCCTTTTTCCCTTTTTTTTTCTCCTGTTTCAGCGTTTCAAGGAAAAAGCCCATATTGTCGTAAAGCTATTGATTTCACCTCTGTCGAAACTGACCGCTTTTTGCGTTTTGAATTGATTTGAAATTCTTTTATTTCGTTATTACCCTGAAAAAAGGCGAAATCGTCGTAAATCAGAAATAAAAACTGGTCTTTTACTCCTTTCACTAACTACTCGGCCATTTATTTCCGTTTTTATCATAATTTATGCGTCGCGTGCTGTTGTCCCTCTTCAGTTAAGATTAATGTTTTTGCGAATTGCCCATGGATAATTCAGACTTTCTCTGGGAAGGTTACATTAAAATCAATAGCTTCTCGAGAAAATTAACTTTTCATGTGGGAAGATAATAACGGTATAAAACAAAAATAGCAAATTGTCACGAATTTTTTTCATTTGTTTGTTCGCAGCTGGTTATTGCTTTCAAAGAGAGATATGAACATCTCATGAAAAAAGAATCTGTAAAATAAGTTAAATAATAAGGATGACGTGATGGGATTTGGATTTCGCTCGTCATTATCCAAGTGAGCCTTTTTTTTCCCATTTTGGACTCGCATGAGCCCTCAAAACGTCTCTTGCGTCGTAATTGATTTGAGGATATCTTCACGTTTCCTAAGGAACCAAATTAGTGG